GTCTAGGCCTGTGTAACAGACTGATCAACTTTTCAGTCCAATATGATTAAATTGGAAATTTTAATTAATTTTATTACCGATATTGTTGAATGAATTTTATCCATGTAATTGATTTTATAAACTGCAAGATAAATATATACTCCATACAAAGATTCAGTTGTATTATTTCATTTTTATGAAATAAATCTTTTCTACATGTGACACGATGGGATTCAACACTTCCTTTTTTTTTCTTTTTTTTTTACAGAATTAGGAAATACTTCCCCTGATAATTTTACACAATAGAAATTCTCATTTTTATTCTTGAAGTGAGCGACATTGTGGGGAGTTCATGATATTCTTGAAGGGGGKAAATCCTACAAAGCAAAAATAAAAACAACAAAAACAAAGAGTGGAGTTTCAAACAATGTGGAGTATTTGGTGATGAAATAAACAAAATTCACAAAGACTTTGAAAAAGTCTGTTCAACAGKATTTCACATCAACAGTTAGTAACCAAAGGACAAACAGAAGTACTGTTGCTTCTTTATGCAGGATCCTGTTCTACTGTTGTGTCTACCTTTACTGACAGCTGGATTCACACAGGCTGAACTAAATATCACCAGCAGACTTCAGACATGTCAGTCCGAATACAGTATTTTGTTTTGAATGATCTGAGTGAGTGTAAGAGATGCTCGTTAAATAAAACCGACATCCTTCAGCCTCCAAAATGTTCAGTTTGGTGTCTGCGAGAACAAAAAAAAAAACTGATGTTCAGCTGTTAAAGCACAGAAAATCTAATTTACAAAAAGCTTAGATTCACACCTGAATACTTTCTCATTTGTAAACTCAACCATGATGGGAAAAAAAAATCAAACTCATTCAATAAAAAACACATTAAAAATGAAAGACTCGTCCATTCAGATTTGTCCATGTTTTAGATTTTAACCGTAGTCATATGTAAGGAACACTGCAGCCAAGAAACCATCTGAAAAGGAGGCTAAATGTTTCCAAAATGACACTCTGCAATGTGTGTGGCACTTCAACCACTTGAAATGGCATCTTGTGTTGCTGARCTGTGGTCTCCAGCAGGTCCAGTGTTCCAGCAACTGGATCATAGTGTCCGTCGTCTGTGTGGRGGTCCTTTTCTTCTGTCGTCGTTTAAGAGCTCACCAGAACATAGATCATCCTGTTCCAAAGAGCAAACAGTCAGGTTGGGAAGAAATGTTAGGAATACAGACAGGTTAAATGTCACTTCCACACAGCTTTGTAATAATTTCCTGATGCATCTCGGTAATCCAGGTAGAAAAAAATACCAAAAAGAAAAAATCAGTAGGTCCTCTGGATGGGCTCTTCTTTAGTGAAACGTTTCGTCTCTCCTCCAAGAGA